CCATGAGAGCCTCAAACAGCTGAACACAAACAGGCAGCGGGCTGGTTGGGTGGGTGGTGGCAGCACACCTTCACTTTCAGACCTGAAACCTCCAACAATGGAGGGTTCGCCCTCAGGCATCCTGCACAGGTGTGACCTGGATCCAATCAAAACCTTAACTTCTTACCCAGTGCAAATAAAGCCAGGGCTGCCCAGGTGCAGCTTTTGTTTGTGTGCGACTTTTGGCAGTCGAGACGGTTTCGCAACAGAGGCGGCACAATGAAGGAGAGGAGAGGCTCTGAATGCTGAACGTGAGGAGAAACAAGGAGGAGAGCTCTGAATGCTGAACATGAGGAGAAACAAGGAGGAGAGCTCTGAATGCTGAACATGAGGAGAAACAAGGAGGAGAGCTCTGAATGCTGAACATGAGGAGAAACAAAGAGGAGGGCTCTGAATGCTGAACATGAGGAGAAACAAGGAGGAGAGCTCTGAATGCTGAACATGAGGAGAAACAAGGAGGAGAGCTCTGAATGCTGAACATGAGGAGAAACAAAGAGGAGGGCTCTGAATGCTGAACATAAGCCTGTGCTTATATCTACATCACTATTGTGACAAACTGTTTAAAAAATCCATCCGTCCACTTTCTTCTGCTTATCTAAGTTCGGGACGCTGTGGCAGCAGGCGAAGTAAGTCAACCTAGACATCCCTTTCCCCAGTAACGTTTTCCAGATCCTCCTCCTTGGGGATTCTGAAGCGCTCCCCGGACAGAAACCCTCCAGCAAACTCTGGGTCTACCCCGGGGTCTCTGCCCAGTTGGGAACCCAGAAAATCTCAAAATGAAGGCGTCCAGACATCCTAATGAGATGCCCGAACAGCCTTAACTAGCTCCTTTCATTGTGAAGGAGTAGCGGCTCTACTCTGATCGCCCTCTGAATGTCTAAGCTCCTCCCCCTCTCTCTAGGGCTCAGCCCAGACACCCTCTGGAGGGAACTCAATTGGGCCCTTTATATCCGCGATCTTAATTGTTTCGGTCACTACCCAAAGATCAAGACTACAGGTGAGGGTTGGAATGAAGATCGAGCGGTAAGTCGAGAGCGTTACCTTCAGGCTCAGCTCCCTCGTTAAACATGACGGTCCAGTACAACCCCTGATTTACTCCGGACGCTCGTCAATCTCACGGTCCATCCTCGCGAGGACTCACTCCCCTGCAGCCCGCCCTGATCACTGCTGGAGGTCCCAGTATTAAGAAGCAAACAGAACAACATCATCTGCAAAGAGCAGAGATGCTTTCTGTTCACAGCGCTTGTTTACATCCGGGTAGTAGAGCGAGGAGCAGCAGACACATTAACAAGAGCTACAGCGAGTCCACAGCTAACGCTAAAGCTAAGTGGCTGTGTCGCAGTTTGAGCACAACATTTGACCGTCATCAAGTCCCGTCTGGTGCCGACCAGCGAGGGTGATCCCTAGTTTCTATAGATCCTTAAAGGTCATTAAAGACCCCTCACAGATACCTTTGAGCAGTGGGTGGTCCAGGTTTGATCCTTATCGCAGATTAACTTGTGCTATTTGACACTTTCATAAAAAAAGATGTCTGTGTTCATCAGAGCTCAGAGAGAGGAAATAAAAACCACATTTGACTTCTTAAAACGGGGAACTTGTTTGCAGATGTTAGAAAGAAAAGAAAGCATGTGGAAACATGTGTGTAAACATCTCACGGATCACTGCTCACCATACCATAATAAAGCAGTGACTCAGTACATTATGAATATGTATAAAAACAGGGAGCAGCACATGTTTCTCTGTATGTCCTCACATGTGTTCATGTTGAATACATCTGTGTAATCTAAATAGAGCAGAGGGGTCAGGCCTCGTCAAAGTGCATAAAGATTACCTGTTACCTAAACACTTTCAAAGAGACGACGTATTAAGAGCCTGGACCACGGCTCACTTTTAAACACAGCGCAGCTCAGAGAAAATAAACATCTTCATGATCCAATCTTCAGCAGAGGAAGCTCTTAAAGGAGGCTTCTGTGGTTTTAAACCCTGGCCTTGTTTTTTTACAAAACTTCAGGATCCAAATGACTGATGGTACTAAAAGTTTTAGAATCGTTGGTGTGTGTTAATATGACAACACGTGACCTTAAAGACTCCTCAAGCGGCCATGAGGAAGAGAGAGAGCAGCGACGTGAATAAATCAGTCAAAGAGGTGTTTTTTTTGTTTTCTTTCTCATTTGACTCTTCTTCTCTTTCTTTTAATTGAATTTTATTCTTACATTTTATATAACTAATTTGTCTGTTTGTCCTTCCTGAAGATGTTAAATATCGTAGAGAAAAGGAAGAAAACCTCGATGGAAGGAAACATTTATGAACACAGATCCAAGCTACCTCAGTTTTTACTTCAAGCTACTTTAAACAAACTGTAAAACATGTTTCTGTATTGTAAGTGTTATTTTTAGTATTTCCACATCACTGGGGGGACACAACCTGTTTGACACCACACCACCTATAAAAAATTAAAATATTGTCCTCCTTATGTTGAATATAAAAAATATGTGTACTGTATGTTAAGACAAGATGACAATAAAAAGTAATTAAAAAAAAATCAGTCAAAGAAATAAGACGTTATTTTACGCTCCTTTCAAAACGGTTACTCTGAAGAACTAATAAACACGTCTGCAGCACAAAATGTGCCAGTAGCAGTTATTTTGTTTGCTGCTCTTCATGCTGCACGCTGTCTGTGTCCAATCAGATGTGTTAAACAATCAGACTGTGGTCAAAACGCCACGACACCTCAAGCTGCATCACTCATGGGCTGTTAGGACTCTGTAATCAGTAACAACGGAATCAAGCAGATGTTGTCGCTGATGCTCGCTCGTGTTGCATGCTGTATCGTGAGGTCCTTGCTAACCACTAGCCCTGAAGATTTCATATTAACCCTTAGATCCTCTAAAATTATCTGAAAAGGCCAACACAGAGAATCCGTCGTCCATGCAAGCGTCTCTGCTCGTCAACATAGTGGGAGAATAACTGTGTCTGTATGTGCGAGCGTGTAAAAAGTCCAGTTAGCAGCGTTAGCATCAGCGCTAGTTAGCGTTGCACAATTACATCACGCGGAGGAGAAACTCTACACAGAAACACCTCTCAGAGTTTCTGAACATCTTCACCCTGGAAGGAGTTTTGCTAAAGAAGAGTTTACAGAGACCTAAAACACAGTTTGTGTATCAAAAGGTCAAAAAGCGCAGAAGAATACCCACCAACGTGTGGACGAGGCCTGAAGCAGCTCCTCTGAGTCTAAAGTCAAGCTCAGCTGTTCAGTGAGGAGTTCCTGATTCATGCACGCAGTCTGCACGCTTCATCGAGCTCTGATGCCACAGGGAGCCATTTTAAGCTCCGACCATAAAGCTGAATATTTTTACTACAAACATTACTTCTCACACTTCCTTGTCTCTGAGATTTGGGTGACTGTACTGAGCACACATAGCCTCGTCCTGCAGGGAGGGTTGGTGTGGATAGACCCTCCAATGATTCACTTACGAGATGAACAAAGAGGAGTCTAGTCTGACCTGGGTTTACCCGTCCCCTGTGGGCTCGGTAATTATGAGATCACATGGAGAGCACAGAGGGAGTAACACCACAAGTGTTCCCCTCTGGATGTAAACAGAAACACACTAAAGTTCCTTCTCTCTTCATGTCAGCTCTTCATAATTTAACATTTCAGATGAAGTCCTTTAGAATCTGTTCCTGACCCCGGTGAGCAGCTCAGGTTTAAGGAGCTGTGAGCTTTAATCCAGCTGTTTCACACTCTCCTGTTAGCTGCCCCGGTGTGTGCTGGAGGTCACCGCTGGTTGAAGCTAACCAGACCCTCTGTGCTCATCAGCTGCACCTGGAGACTCTGTCCATGAAAACAACAACATAATCAGTGCTGAGGCCTCTGCAGAGCGAAACAAGGACCAAACACAAGAAGGCTCCAGCACCCCTTTTCTCCCCCCGCCATCCCCCCAAAGGAAACTCCTACAAGGTCATGAAGTTGAAGAGAATCTCAATGTGAACTAAAGAGAACATACTTGAGTACAGGAAACATGCAGCAGCAGGTTCATTAGAGCACGGAGATGGTAGAGGTGGCGTGCAGACAGTCTATGGTCGTGCAGTGTCACCACCCCCCCTCCCACTGACTCCTCCCACTGACTCCAGGTGAATTCTCCTGATTATATCCTGCTGTGTTCTCACATCAGCTCACTCTGACTTTCTGCATAAGAAATACGAGGAGGCTGGAGGAGAAACTCAGGAGTTTTCTTCAAGTGTGAAAACACAAGAAGTAGTGCATTCATCCCCTGCAGGGAGTGGGGTGTGGACTGGGGAGAGGTATTTTAAAATCATCCCATTGTTGCAAGCAGTCGATGATAAATGAAAACAAAAACAGGCTTCACTAAATGTTTTCTTCTCCTACACACCCGTCTGATTATATGAGGGGTTTCTCACATTTTTAAAATCATTTAAGATTTTTTAGATCGTTGAGTACGTGCCAGGCAGTACACTCACACGCCGTAAACACCGAGATCAAACGCTGACTGAAGCTCCTCCCACTGCCTTCTGAAGGTGAGATGATGAGTCAGCACGGAGCAGCCCGAGGGTTAATATAAGCTCACACACCTGGTCTACGTCAGGGACGACAAGCCACACACACACACATTAACACACACACACACGCACACACTCTCAAACAAACAAACACACACACACACAAACAAATATACAAACACCCACACACCCACACACACACACACACACACACAGTTATTAAAGCAGCGTTTTAAAAAACGAGTGCGTGGAGTCTGTAACCCTCCAGGACGCGGTGGTCGGGGTTTGGTGGTTGCAGGTGGGCCTCCTGTTGTTTGGGGGGAGGGGGCACCTGCAGTCAGGCTGACACAGTGTGGATTGTGTTCCCTTCCTAATGGAATAGCGGACATATTTGAGGGGAATCCCCTTACGTAGCGTTCAGAGTGTTGTAATAATGTACTCACAGTGATTTTCCCGCTGCGGTTGGCCTCCTCCCGCTCTGCCAGCGCTCTCAGGAAGTTATCTTTGAGTTCTTTTCCTCCACTTGCCAGTGTCCTGGAAAAGACAACACTCCGACGGTTTAGAAAATGTTTCTCTTAACTTGGAAAAAAAAAAGTGGCAGGGAAAGTTAAAGGCTCTTTTCACAGATTCACTCACTTTAGCTTCAGGTGTGCTGCGTCCTACATCTGCCTGAACGGAGCAGGAGAAAAATATTTCTCTGTCTAATAACTTACAGGGTCATTATGACAGGGGCTTCATTCAAACGTGCTAATGTTTGAAATATAGCACCTTTAAAAACGTGTCTATAAAGTCCATTAACAGACAAAGTAAAGACTCAAATAAACATCAACCTCTATGCAGATGTTGCATAATCAATATTGCCGCAAAGCTGTGACGCCAGTTTTGAAAGACACGTCCCCTGTGGTGCAGTTCACAATAAAGCCAATAGGTGGCACGATGCAAGTTTAAAATCAAAACAAACATCGATTAGAAACTCTAAAAAATGCCAGCAAAACTGAGAGCAAATATTAATTGAGCATTTTGGATTACTTCAAACACCAGGAAGTCCTGAGTTGGACAGGAGGTGGCAATATCTAAGATTTGCAAAAACAAGTTTAAAGGAGCAGTATGTAACTCTGACCCCTAGTGGTTAAAATGGGTACTGCAGTCTAAATTCTAAACGTCATAGAGAGCTGTCTCCCCCCCTCCTCTCTAGAGTGGATGCTCACTCAGGTCCCCATGTGGTGGACTCTGAAGCTTCAGTGTTTATCCAGCTCTGCATGGGTCTGTAAACCTTTCTGTGTTCTAACCTCTCTCCATTTTTCAAAAGCATCTCCAATATTGATCCTAGTTTGAGCACGTTTCTGCTCGTGGAGCTTATTAGAAACATGCAGAGGCTTTTTAGGTCGGGTACAATCACTTCTAAAGAGATTTCTTCTGCGCAGGATGCATTAAAGAGAAAGCGGACTAAAGCCAGCGTCTCGTATGTGAGCACAGAGCGCCTCATTGAAGCTGCCAAACTCCCATGACACTCCCAAATACTCCAAATACTTTTTGTGAACAGGAACTATCATAAATAATGTTGATGAATACTTTTACTCTGAAGGAATTCTAAAATCTACAATAATGTCAGAACTGCTTTTAGAAATACCAGCTGTGCACAGACATATTCCATCATATCGGAGTTCAACGACTTTATTTGATCACTTTGACGCTTCCTTACTCCGAGTCTGGCCCGTTTCCATAGAAACGTGGTTTTGGCGCGCACTAGAGCATCCACACCTGAAAAAACATTGGCACTAATATTTGAACAGTTGACACTGCAGTACGAGCAACAGAGACTCTGGCCCGGGTCCAGGATGGAGTGTGCAAAACATTCATCAGGTCCACGGCGAGTTAACGTCTCACAGGCTGTAAACAGGTCGGAGCGCTCGCATGTGGTCAGAACTGCAAAAGAAGAAAGACAGCGAGAAATGTAGAGAGGCCGTTTACTAAATCAGAAGCAGCTCAGAGGAAAACTCAAAAAAGAGTTTCTATTTAGTTAAAACATGTGAAACAATCTTTCCCACTGCTTGTACAAACTTCTTACTAACACGATTTAATCAACAAACTTCATAATCAGTTATTTCATCTTCAGACGTCCCTTTATCTGACAGCGAGTTTTCAGAGACCTAAAATGCAGTTTGCATAAAAAAAAGCCAAGCTGCAAGTAAAAAAACAACATTTTCAAAAATACCCTCCTACGTGTGGACGAGGCCATACGAGGAAGATACAGTTTGAGTTGTGTGAAACCTTAACTTCCCAATCTTTGTAAAAATGAAAAATCCACTTTGTGTTTTTGAACATATATCTGGGTAACCTGAGAGTCTACTGACCCACAACATGTGAAATAAACCCATTCAGTTCTTTGTTTGTGGTCTGCATAAGTCTTACAACACAGAGAACAATGCTCCGTTTCTAATGTGCTCTCCTTGTGATGTCACAGTGGGATTCTGGTATCTCCCCTGATATCTCCACCCATGGACTCCACCTCTAGCCTAGAACAAAACTTTTGCACAGGTTCGCCATTTTTATTCTCCCTACAGAGGAATGATGTCTACCAGGAAAACTCAGGGGGGGTCATTGCATTTAAAGAGACACGCACACCAAAATGGAGCGTTTTGAGAGAGCTGGTTTATACATGGTCACAAACCTCCTCTGGTGCTTGACTCATGTTATATTTTGACCAAAGCACAGCACAGATGTTTCATGTAGACCATAGGGGGACTGTTTGAAAAGGTGGAGGAGGGGGATGATATGTCCTCTTTAAAATCAGAGGATGCAGAGCTGCAAAGAACTATCCACTAAAAAAGAACACAGTCAAACTTTTAAAGTATTATCATTTCAATCTGAACGGCAGAAACAGTTTTCAACCCTCAGACTTTACTGGACCATGAATAACACTGCAGTAAAAAGTGCAGAGGTTAGCTCTTCACAGCAGTCATGAGAGGAAGTCATAATTCCAAACTTTCCTGCAAACACCTGCAAAGTTTGAACCAGGAACCTCCAGGTTGTAAATCTGTTTCTGTTTCATCTTTTTGTTTCTGCTGGATATCCACAAGTTCTGAGTCCAGTCCAGTCCAGGCTTCAGGTCCAAACAGAAGACAGGTTCCGTTATATTTTACTGTTCACTCTTACAAAGCAGACTCTGGAGCGTTACAGTCACAGAGAACCGGATCTGAATGTTGAAATGGACTAGGATTTGGAGAAGGATTGTAACTCATACTCGTCGTTTGGCCCCTTAATGAAAGTCTTAGAGGAATCCCACAGTGGTGGAAAAGTGCACGGACAGCACATATTTGGAGGCTGGAAGCTCACTCCATCTTGTGAGTGAGTGAAGGATAGCTGCTGGGTCACGGGGGCCGAGGCCCCAAAGTAAACACAGGTGGCGAGGAGGAGAGTGACTGGGGTTACCCCATCCAGTAGCTAAAGCAACACACACAGTCACGGAGAGCGGACTACGCCACGCACAGAAAAAACACGAGGAGCGGCGCAAATTTGACTTTCACGTCAATTTAACAAACTTCTTATCAAGCCTCATTTAGGAGGGATAACAAGAATTCACTATAAATGACGGTTATTAGCGGCTAATGACGAGGCATTAAGCTAACGGTGATCAGGCCGGGAGTTTTTAAGATTTGTGTTTTTGGATTGTGGTCAGAGCAGGTGGGCGAAGGCGTTACGAGAAAAGAAGCGAGGAGGAGAATCAAACAGTCATTATCAAGATGTTTCTGTTTAAGAGTGTCTGTTTTTAAAAAGTCTTTAAATAATCAAAGTTGCGGTTGTGCCTCAAAAATCAGAGCGTAGGTATACTGTGAACGTCTGTCTGCGTTTGGAAATGTCAAAGCTTTTGAATTCTCACCAGAGAGACACGGTTATCGGATGTTTGTACGAATTAGAATAGTCGTTTAAAAGTCGATCTAACAGAACAATAACCTCCAACAGCGGGCCGAGGTCATCTGGTGAGTTCACTAGTGCTCACAGCAGCCTTCAGCTACAAAGCAGCCAGTTAGAACGGCACTGCTAAGAGGAAGAGGAGAGAGAGAGAAAGAGACAGAGAGGGAGAGAGAGAGAGAGAGAGAGAGAGAGATAGAGGAGAGAGAGAGAGAGAAAGAGATACAGAGAGGGAGAGAGAGAAAGAGATAGAGAGAGAGAGAGAGAGAAGAGATACAGAGAGGGAGAGAGAGAGAGAGAGATAGAGAGAGAGAGAGAGAGAGAAGAGATAGAGAGAGCGAGAGAGAGAGAGAGAGAAAGAGATACAGAGAGGGAGAGAGAGAGAAAGAGATAGAGAGAGAGAGAGAGAGAGAGAGAAAGAGATAGAGAGAGAGAGAGAAAGAGATACAGAGAGGGAGAGAGAGAGAAAGAGATAGAGAGAGAGAGAGAGAGAGAGAAAGAGATAGAGAGAGAGAGATAGAGAGAGAGAGAGAGAGAGAGAGAAGAGATAGAGGAGAGAGAGAGAGAAAGAGATACAGAGAGGGAGAGAGAGAGAATCAATAAATCCATCTGACACCTAAAAGTCGTCTCTTTCCTCGTCCATCTTCAACTTAGCTTATAAGTTTGGAACCCTCTCCAATGTAGTTTAGCCACGGCCTATTGTCGTCATGGTAACAGTTGAATACATAAACATTCTTCACATGCTAACGGTTTAATAACGTGGGGCTGTTTTGTTTCTGCTCTTTTTTTACCGGGAAGGTGATTTCCACCAAAAGCATGATGGGGAAGAAAATCAGCAGGTATGAAAAGTCGAAAACGACCGTTTCTCGTTTTATTGTTTTTCGCTGCTGAACAGAACGCTAGCCAGGACAGCCAGCGATGACGTCAATCGTCCTCCATATTTTTTTTTTTTCTTCATGTTTGATCACGTGAGATTCTGTGAGATCTCGTGTCTGTGAAATCAGACGGGTGTGTGGTCTCGCGGTCTGGCTGAATCGTCGTTAAGATTTGAAAATGGTCTGGTGTGTAGCCAGCCTAAGTTAAAGCTTCGCCCGAAGAGCTAGCTGTATGCTAACCACAAAATGCCAGTTTGTAAATTCTGACTGGTCATTTTTCAGTCAAGTATAACGTACATGAAGTTCAGTTTTCAAAGACAAAGATGAACTCTTGTTAAAGGTTTATTTTAGCGTTAATGTCATCATCTGTGAGTTTAAAATAAAATGTGCAGACCGATTCAGCAGTCATGAACAGAATGCTTCAGCCGCCCTTCATAAAGACACTTATTAATATAATCAGTCATGTGAAATAAATAAATAATCCAGGTGCATAAAGAGAGAGTAGGATCTCTCACTGTGTGCCTCCTTCTTACAGTAACTGAAACAGATGCATCGTCCAGATGTTGCGTTGCAGTCGGCCGAGGTCAGAGAGAGTTACAACAACACCTTCCATAAACGGAGCACAGCTTCCAGTAAGTATCACAATTTATCTCACAAATTATATAACTGTGACATATGTACTGATCCTGCTCCTCTGTTTGGGCCGAACAGCTGTTTCTGCACAGCAACAAGTGTGTTTACACGTCT